TTTGATGTATGTTTTTGTTATGTTTGGTTTCTCACTTCCCAGTGAGTGAATAATGAAACTAGGAAAATAGTTCTTAGGAAACTATGGAAAGTTAACTTAGAAAAATTAAAAATTTTCATTATACAGCAATTTTTGTTGTTCAGTTACGATGTTCAAAGCATAAAATGTAAAAAAAAAAAAAAGGAAAAAAAATATATACAAAAAAATCAGTATACTGTTTATTTTCCAATTTTGTCAAAACAAAACTGTTTTAAAAAATGTTTTAAAAACATTTTCATAAATCATATTTTCAGATATAATGTTTTTGTAATGTTTGACAAATGCTGATATTAAAAGTTTACAGTTTGTATCTAAATCTTTGTTGTTTTTCATAGTGTGGTTTTTGAGGAATTGTATTGAATCCAATTAGGGTCAATTTGACCCGGTCCATAAGGGGAGTACACAGAATTCGAACAGAACACAAGGATTAATTGCACTTTTGCACATGCCTCTGTCCTAACTTTTTTGGAGTGTGTAGCAGCCATCAAAATCAAAACTTGTTTAGGCCTATATTTACAAAATAAAATAAAATTGGTAAGTGAAAACATTGGAAATTCTTTGTACATTTGTCAGTTAAATAAAGATTCAAGAGAATGAACAAATCACAGATTATTGATATTATTGCATTTTATTAAATATCCCAAGTTTTCTGGAAATGGGGTTGTCTTAGCGGTAACATTTTATTTCAAAAGTCCACTTTAGACATTCTATTAACTTTAAGTAATTTTGCAACTATATGCCAACTAACTGTCATTAAAGTATTAGTAGACTGTCTGCTTAATATCTGCTAACACTTTTTTTTATGGTCCACCAACAGATATTCTTCTGACTATAAGTAACTTGGCAACTACAAGTCAACTTATTCTACTAACCGGAACCCTAACACCTAACCATAACCTAACAGTCTACTGACAGTCTACTAATACTCTAATGAGAGTTAGTTGTCATTGTAGCAAATTAGCTCTAAAGAAAGATTAATAATCATTCATTTTGAATTTTTGGGTCAGTTACTTGGATTAACTTGATGCAACTAAACTAATATTACAATCAATTAATCAGTTCGTCCAACGAACTCTTTTGATTATTCATTTATTCTAAGAAAATGGTATCTTTCATGGCCACAGACAAATAATTCTTTCTTAGCATGTACAGCGCTTAGAGCATGAAACAAGATCAAGATCGTAAAATAAACTTTGTTCCAAGCAGAGAATCAGAACCAAATTTGTATTGTGCACAAGTTGTATTAACTAAATCACAAACATAACTAAACTAAACACACATACACACATGCATAGGTAAAATGGTGAGTGACAGAATGAAACCAGAAGCAGGAAATGGAACTATGGAAAAGATCCATTTAACTATGAAAAGAACCATCAGCTTATCATTTTCAGAGCCCCTCATTAAATGTATACTTGCAGGGCCTTTGCAGTGAAACATTTTGTGAAGTTCCTGAAGAAGGATTTTTGATGGTCCCATGAGTCTCAATCGATTTCTTCGGCGTTGACTGAAGAAATGGTGATGAACCTGCGTGGTTGGTTTGACTCTGTTCCCATGGCTGGAGTGCAGATTGTGGCCTGCCGCCGGCCCTGGGCCGGAGAGGCCACGCAGAGCAAACAGGAGAAGGGTGGAAGTCGGAAGAGTTGATGGTTGGAGTTGCGATGGACTTCTTCTGCATTGAATGAAGACGTTGTGCCAAACTCCTGAGGTTGTCCTTGATTCTGTTGTGGTTGAGAGAGTCCTCTCTCTCCTGAATGAGCACATGGCTGGTTGTGAGTCAAAGCCTGCTGCCCTGGGGTCTGGGGCCTGGTAGGGCCCCGCAGGACAGCAACCCGAACATACCAGAGAGGGCCAAGAGAGGGCCAAGAGAGGGAAGGGCTTGTGTAGAGGCCATTTAAAGCCCCAGAAAGGTCACACCTTTCAGGATTGACTCACCCAATAAGAAAGGGGGGATTTCTAACCGGGAGATTCCTCTGTTGGGAGGATTTATGACGTTATCTCAAGTATGGTTAGACATATGCCTTGGCGTTTGTGTCCATTTTTACTCAGATAGATATAACAAACACAAACTGCATTAAAGTGTGTGTCATTAAATGAGGATTAATTAGATAGGAGACACGATACAGGTGGGGTTACATTGACCGTTGGTTGTATAATAAAATGCATACTGTAGTATCAAAGACATAATAGTACACAAGACAGTAAATCATTCACACAGTGTCCTGGGGTGCATGTTCATTTATATATCAGTTTATACATAAATTGATGCAAAATCTGTTTTAAGGGCTGTGGGTCTTCTATGGCCTCTGCTTTTTCCGCTTGACCACATTTTTAACAGTAATAAAACCAACTTATCTGATCGTAGTCATGGTAACCAAGACCCTTCTTGCCCTTGTTGGGGGAATGGGACCATAGATCCCAGAGTGAGTTTTGCAGATTATTTGTTAAATATAACAAATAATTGTGTCTGATTTGTCTCAGATGTTACAACATTTACTTGCAAAGTCACCTAGAGAGTCTAAAGTGCACTATTGAAAAAAATTGTTACCTATTTTTTAAAGCATTTATTAGTCTTTGTTAATGTTAGTAAAAATCGTATTGTTCATTGTTTATTTTTAAGTTTACAGTGCATCAACAAAATGTAAACAAATGCATCTTTGGATTTTTAAAAATGTTTAATGTTGAAATTAACTAAGATTAATAAATGCTGTAGAAGTATTCTTTATTGCTAGTTCATGTTAACTAAGTCAAGTCAAGTCAAGTCATCTTCATTTATATAGCGCTTTTAACCATGTAGATTGTTCCAAAGCAGCTTTACAGTGATAATAGGAAATTAAAGTAACAGATTGTTTTGGCTTTATGGCAGCTCTAGAATAAAGTTATTTTCCAGCTAAAGTTAGTTTTGATTGATTCACTTCTGTCGCAACGTTCATTAGTTATTAACTTAGGGGCCGCTAACACAACACCGTTTTAACAGAAAACTCTTAAGTTCTCTCTACGCAAATTTTAAAAACGCGAACCTGTGAGAACGCTGATAGCGTGCACATGCCACTTAAGAGTTAATTCTATAGGTATGCGCGTTTGAATATATGTGTGCGGGCATGTAGTCCTTCCCTAAAAGAATAACCCTCAACAAACTACTTGTCTGGCCTTAAAATTTATGATACAGAATTTTATCGCTTCGGCGTAGCCACGTGAACCGGAATTATCCTGACATCGATTATCTGTACAGAGGTAAAGGGAAGGAGGCCTTCACAGGGGAGGGACTAGTGACACTTTAAGACTGCGTTGTCGCCCCGTCCAGACGCAGGTCCTTCATCAGATCTGGATATGGCCTGGATCCGGCAGACTGCGGTAAACCTCGGGATAAACAAAGAGAATAATATTAGCGTAGATGCCATTCTTCTTATGATGTAACGAGTACATCAGGATTTGGATCTGAAACATGGACCTTGCTAAAGATGGATTTGACCAAACTTGAAGTTTTTCAAATGTGATGCCTATGCCAGATCCTGGGAATTTCGATTTGTGACCACATCACCAACGACGCAATCCGAGCCAGATGCCAACAATAACCAGGCATCGAAGAGCAGAGACAGCAACGACGGCTGAGATGGTTTGGACATGTATGCAGAATGGATGCAAATAGATTACCACAATGACCAACCCAGTGGAGAATCCAGCGCACTGCACCCAAGAAAACATGGATCAAGCAAATCGAAGAAGATCTGAAGAACCAGCTGCTTGACCCACAGCAGGCAAGATTAGTCGCCACAGACCGAAAAGCATGGAGACAAGTGATCTAACGAGTTTGAAATCCTGCGGCACCCACAGCAGTATACTGGTTGCGAGGTCGTCCTCCCCAAGATGCCAGCTAGGGATTAAAGAAGACATCAGGATTTAAGGGAAGTGTTCTCGGTTCCGGCTGACCTAATCTATGCAGCCTAATATTGAATTATAGAAGTCTATAATGTGTTATGTGTATGCTAGGTCAAAGAGAGTACGAAGCCTTGTGTTGCGCCATACTGAACTTGTGATCGATAAGACATCTCTTAATTTATTGCTACAAACTGATAACGGTCAGATAAGTATGATTTAAACCATGCTAATGCAATTCCACTAATGTCAACATAATTTTCGAGTCCATTTAAAAGGATATTGTGGTCGATGGTATCAAATGCAGCACTAAGATCGAGTAACACTAATAGAGAGATACAATCACAATCAGATGATCGAGATCGGCCTGTAATTGACTAATTCTGTAAGATCAAGTTGTGTTTTTTTAACAAGCGGTTTAATCAAAGCCAGCTTAAAACTTTTTGGTACGTATCCTAATAACAAAGATGAATTAATGATATTAAGAAGAGGATCTTTGACCTTTGGAAGCATCTCTTTCATTAGCTTAGTTGGTATAGGGTCTAATATACATGTTGTCTATTTAGATGATTTAACGAGTTAAAAAAATTCTCCCTTCTCTTATAGAAATGAATTAATCTCATTTTTACTTAGGAAGACTACAATGCACTCCCTGACGCGATTCTGTAGTAGACGGTTGCATAGGTATAATTTTCTCCCTGATATTATCAATCTTATAAGTGAAGAAGTAGTCATTACTGCTGTGCTGCTTGGAAACTTCTGTGCTTGAGGCTTTATTTTTCGTTAGTTTAGCCACTGTTTCAAATAAATACCTTGGTTTTTGTTTTGTTTTCTTCTGAAAAATAAGCAGATCTAGCAGCTTTTAAGGCCTCTCTGTATGCAATCGAGCTCTCCTTCCATGAAATGCGAAATACTTCTAGTTTTGTTTTCTTCCAGTTTCTTCCAACTAAAATAGAATACTGTTAAATAGATTACTGTAAAAAGATTTTAACAAATGAAAACTTATTTTAAAGTGTTAGTGGTATTTTGGAAACTCTCCCCATTTTGTATAATAAAATTCAACCTCTCTTCCAGCAGATAACGATCTGTCTCATGTCTGGGTCACAATCCAGCTCCATCATGGACCAGAACACAACCAATTCAACTCAAGGACCTTGTGGCTTGTCTGAAATGCCAGCTCGTACATTCTTTATATCTGTATACTCTCTGGTTTTTCTGGCAAGCCTGGCACTCAACAGCATTGCAATATATGTGTATTTTTGTAAACCTACAAGCCAGTCCAGCATCACAGTCTATCTCAAGAATCTGGTTATAGCAGACTTGTTTGTCTGCCTGTGTTTGATATTACGCATTGCCAAATACGCAAGCACTTCAGTGGAAATACAGCGGATCTACTGTATCTTTGGTGCTCCAGCTTCCTACCTCAACATGTACTCCAGTATTCTCTTCATGGGCTACATTGCTGCAAACAGGTATGGATGTCCATCCATCCATCCATCCATCCATCCAAAATAAACAGTAAAACCATATTTTAATTACAATAAAAGAAAATGTCTCGGTTACGTATGGTAACCCTCGTTCTGAGTAGGGAACGGAGACGTCTCGTCGGAGGAGTTTCCAACGATTTGGGATCACGCTAGGGAGACCAATTGCCTTCGAGTGAATTAAAAACGAGCCAATGAATATTGGCATGCAGGACTTGCAAGCTGACTCTTCTCCCTCCGATGCAGCGATCGACATCTGATCCTCCGGTGGGGCCCCGAAGGAAACGACTGGAGCCACACGAGATGGGCCAGCGCGCTCCTCCAAGGGCCCCAGTGGCAGCGATGCAGAGGAGTGGGAAGCCTGAGGGGATCTTTCAGTCCTCACTGTAACCCTCTTGACCACCAATGGGATTAGCCGAAGTAGCCTTTTTCTGGAGTAAACCAGAAGAAGAACTAGATCGGGGAATCTCCAAAGGGATTCGCAGTCTAAGTCTCAGCACCGCGATGGTCATGTTCCCACAGTGAGATAATTCTTTAATCTTGAAGCTCATCACTCAGAGGACACACCGGTCGGCTCTGAAGCTAAAAGCATATGTGTATGCGCTCGCTTCCGCTTTATACCCGCACTGGCAGGCGGGGCGCGGAATGCAAGTCCTGCATGCCAATATTCATTGGCTCGTTTTTAATTCACTCGAAGGCAATTGGTCTCCCTAGCGTGATCCCAATTCGTTGGAAACTCTTCCGACGAGACGTAGGAGTTCCCTAACGAAAGGGAACAAATGATTTCATTTTTTTATAATTATAAATTGTATAATTTATATATTATTAATAATTAAATATATTAGTTAAGATAATAGTTATAAAATAATAATTATAAAAGAAATAATAATTATTATTGTTATTATTGTAATTATATATCACATTGAAATTGTGTAATTATAATGTAACTGTATGTAAATAACTACATTTATTTGTATAACGATGATGAAAAACAAATTAAAACAATATTGTAATATATATTTGTATATAAAATATAATATACAGTAGTGACCAAAAGTATATCCGGAGGAGATTTTTTTATAACCCTGTTCGATTAAATTATCAAAATATAAGGGACATATGTTTTATCTTTTAAATATTTTAAATGTGAAGAAAAAACAAAACTCTAAACTTGATTAAGATTGTTTATCTGGACCAGAAACTACACAGTCACCGCATATTAAATAACTGGACCAGCAACTACAGCGTGTTAAATAAAGCAACATGCAGCAAATCATCAATGTTACTTGGTCTTCTCCTGGACTGAAGTACAGGCTCTACTCTTCAGCTCAATGGTGGCCCAAAAAACTACATTTTACAGTAAACTACTGGCAACAGTGGACTATATTAGTGAACTAATGTAGGGAATAGTGAATGAGGGTATAGGTTGTGATTTGGAAAACAGCCTCTGAGCGTCGACTTTGAGCGGTGTTAATTCACAGTAGCTATATTCCTGTAGGCTATTTTCTCGAAAACGACAAAAATAACCCAGAATGCGTTGTTTTCTACCATATTACTGTTTTAATGGAAAATGTTATGATTCTGTCAGAATTTGACCTTTTTTTTACAGCAAGGGTTAACAGTGCAGGCCAGACATCACTAAAAAATATTACACACTAAAGAAAAGGCTAATTACCAGTTCAACATTACATGATTATATTTTACTTCAGTAGAAAGTCATGGAGGTGCAAACGTCACAAACACTGTTTCTGTATTTTGAAAGCCTTCTCTGTGTTCTTTGAATTCTTTGCTCCTTTGTTTCAGGTACATGAGGATTGTTCGGCCACTGGAGACTCACATGCTGCAAACAGTCCGCTCGACCCGCTACATCTGCATAGTGACCTGGGCTTTCCTGTTGTGCTTTATTTGTGTCTATATTGCTGTTTTTTTCAGTTCTGATAAAGAAAACACTCCCAACAGTGGTTTTAGCTGTAAAAGTTTTCATAACAGCTTGCTCAAACAGATCTACATGACCATGCATATCCTTTCCTTTTTAGTATTTTTGTCTGTGCTGGTATCCCTGATTCTGTTTTATTGGGGGAACGTACAGAGGCTTCGACAAGCTCAGCGCACAATGCCGGAAAAGCCTAGGGACGCAAAGCTCAGCAAGTCAAAACGCAACATGCGAGTACTGGTGGCGGTTTTCTGCGTGTGCTTTGTGCCCTATCATATGGTGAGACTGCCGCACGTGTTTATCAGTCCCCTTCTGCATGACTGTACAGCAGCTCAGGCCTTCTACATCATAAAGGAGCTGACCGTCCTGCTTGCAGTGCTAAATGCCTCCCTGGATCCACTTATTTACTTTTTCTTTTGCAAGACCTTCAGGGCCCGGCTTAACCTTCAAAGATTTCAACAAAGAAACCAGTAAGTTGAGTTAAAGGTGTAATGTGTGATTTCTGCACCAGTAGCGGCACGAAACGAAACTGCAAAAATTCACATCCAGCCAACATTTCATGATGGGGCCAATGTAGCCAAGATATGGTCGTGAAATATGGGCCCTACATGGGTTTGTCATGGGTCCCATGTCACCCCTATCTGAGTTAACCCCAGTATGGGCCCCAAATGGGTTTGTCCATGGGTCCCATGTCACCCCTATCTGAGTTAACCCCAGTATGGGCCCCAAATGGGTTTGTCCATGGGTCCCATGTCACCCCTATCTGAGTTAACCCCAGTATGGGCCCCAAATGGGTTTGTCCATGGGTCCCATGTAATCCCTATCTGAGTTAACCCTAGTATGCCTATAGTACATTGGCCTCACCATGAAATGTTGGCTGGGAACAGGTTCACGTCCCCTATATTTGATTTCATTGCTTTACTGACAGCAGCACTTGAGCTGCATGAACTCCACAAGTTTGTGTAAAACCTGATGATCATGTTCTCCAGCATCATTTGAGAATGTTCACATCTTGTGCTTCAATGGAAGCAAGAACATCTGACGACTGTACAAAGGAGTTAACTTGATCAATTTATTTGTTTAATTAGTGATGTAGCAGTAGTGCAGAAATATTTATTTTAATTTTAAGACTTTTCTTTGTTTTAATATAAATATATATTAATATAAAATCTTAAATATATATTGAATATACAATTCTAACATGATGTCCATCCAAGGAAAATTGACATCTTCTCCCTTTATTTAAATATTCTTAAAAATGTGCTTGGATTCAGTTGTTTTATTTGTGCTAAAGGAATGAAACCTGCCAAATTGTGCAGACAGCATTGTTGATCAGGCTGTCATTAAAACAAAATTATGAACACATGCTAAAACAAGAGAGAGACAGCCAACTAAATATTAATAACTGATTATGTTGTAGTCAATGTATGCTTTTTGCAGGGAGATTTTAGTGTTTCTATTTGCATTTTTTTTATTACATAAGAAAATAAAACCTGTAGCTGTAGTTGCCTTGTTTGCCAAATAATTTAGTCAGATAAATACTTTAAGTATTTTGTTCATTCCTCATATTTAAAATATTTACAAAAAAAAATATTTTCCTCTTATATTGATGGTTTAATCAAATTTGTCAACACATTCTCATCCCAAGGCGTCATCTAACTGACACTTTTGACCATGCGTCAACATGCCCACGCACATGGTACCCCTTAAGCGTCAATATGAGACGCTCATCCTCGGGCGTCATCTAACTGACACTTTTGACCATGCGTCTAAATCCGACGCACATGGCACCCTTTAGCGTCAGTTAGATGACGCTTCCAGTATGGGTAGGTTTAGGTCTGGGGTAGGGTTAGGGTTAGACCACTAGGAGGCGCGTCTCATATTGACGCTTAAGGGGTACCATGTGCGTCGGCATGTTGACGCATGGTCAAAAGCGTCAGTTAGATGACGCCTTGGGATGAGAATGGGCTGAATTTGTAGGATCATTAAAAACAACATCACTTTTGGCCACCACTGTAAAGACATTATATAATAATAATAATAATAATAAATGCACTTTTATTACAGCACTCAGCGTGGGGTGAGAGAGGAAACCAGCTTTAACTGTGCCTGACAAACACAACATCCGTATTTAAGTCTCCTTTGAACTCCCACTAAATCCTCATATGGAGAGCTAATAATAATAAATCAGGAAAGCTCTTCGGACAACTGTAAAGTGGTATATGTTATTTTGTAAATGTTCTTGTGTTGTATTCTTTTGTATTTATATGTATTTGATTGGATTTGTAAAACTAATTTGCAAAGTATTTCAGTTACTTTAAGTTATTTAAGTTATTCTGTTTACATTGAAATCCTTACATGGCACTTTTAAGTTAAATTCAGGTATGTTCTTTAAATGTTTTATTTTCTTGTTAGTTTATTCACATAAAAAGTTACATTTTGTCATATTTCCCAGATTCAATTTTTTTCCCTTGAAATATTATTTTCTTTTGTCTGTGGAAAACAAAAGCAAATATTTTTTGCAGAATGTCTAAGCTTCTCTTTTCCACATTCACACAGTCGAGCTCCAGAAAGGACAAAAAAAAAAAAAAAGAAGAAAAAGGAATAGACCAGGTCTGACTCATTTTAGTTAACCTCTGTTTAGCTCTGCATTTGTTTGATCAAAAATACAGTTTAAAGTTTAAACAGTAATATTGTGAAATATTATTAAAATAACTGTTAAAATTTTTATTTATTCCTGGTATCAAAGCTGAATTTTCAGTATTATTACTCACACAGTGTCACATGATCCTTCAGAAATTATTCTAATATATTGATTTTGTGCTCAAGAAACTTGTGAACTTTAGTTTTTTTTTCAGGATTTTTTGATGAATAGAAAGTTTAAAATAGCAGCATTTATTTGTAATAGTAAAGACTTTTACTTTTCTGTCAATTAATGCATCCTTGCTGAACAAAAGTGTTAATTTCTTTACTCACCCCAAACCTTTGAATGGCATAGTGTACATTATGCTCACAAAGCACCATATCTGCTTTGCATGACCTGTTTTATATATATATATATATATATATATATATATACAGTATATACTGTATATATATATATATATATATATATATATATATATATATATATATATATATATATATATATTTATATATTTATATTGTCTCATTTATAGTCTCATATTGTTTGTTCCTTATGTTGTCTTGCACTGTTCATTGAGTCTCAGAGAGACGTTATTTCATTCACTGTATATTTGTATATGGATGTGCTGAAAATAAAGCTCTTTTGAATTTAGAAACATCTGACAAAGTTGATTGTTTTATTGGTAACACTTTAGAATAATGATCCGTCATTAATAAGCAGAAAGTAATGCAGAACTAATGATCAGAACTACATTAACACTTCAGCTACTACTATTAACTAATATAGAAACAAACTAAAAATAGATACATAACTAATCAGTAAGTAATATCAAATTTAGGACTAAGATAGTTCCTTATTAGGTAATCAATAATTACTTAATGAGTTTGGCATCATTAAGAACTAATAGGTAATTTTGACAAATTATAAAGAAATTACTAATTAATTACTAATGACAACATGTGTCTGAGACGTTATAGCTATTGTCTTTTTTTGACTCCGTGGTCCTAAAATGCATTACTAATTACTTGTGTTAGTCACTATGCAGGAACTACGAGTGATCTGGACCATTACTTTAAAGTGAAAAAAGAATTTATTGGTTTTTCAGAACATTTAAATGTGCACACACATATCCATCTGAAAAATGAAGCAGTATTCATACAACAAAATAGAATGAAAGGAAGACATAGCACGACCATAAACAAAAACTAAACTATAAATACATTTTAGAAAATTATATACATTTTTTTTTTTTTTAAAGACAGTGATGCACCTAGCCCTTGAGTTACAGCCTTGCCTAAATGTAGGTACCATATTCTATCAAAATGTATCCATCAGTCATGTTTTCTAGTTAAATGCAATGTTTATGAGCCGGAACACCGTTAAACCTCCAAGGTGTACGAATGATACTTCCCCCATTTCAAGTTGTACTCCTCCACTTTATCAAGCAACCTATTGGACAGTTGTTTAAGAGCAGCCAGCTGACCCAGAGCGGCGTGCCACAAATCCAGTGCTGGTGCAGAGGGGGCTTTCCATTCTTTGACCTAAAGTTTCTGGCCTAGCATGAGGACAGTCTGGGTCCAGTTACACTGTAAAAAAAAATCCAAATTTTACAGAAAATAACTGTGATTTTTTGACGATCTATTTTTTTTTTCATTTTAAATTGTACTCAAAACACTGTAAAATTACAAATAATATCTGTCAAATAAAAATTCAGCTGTTATTTTAGGTATTGTGACATTAATGACAAATTGCAGTAATTCACATTTTTTTATACAGGAAATTGATTGTATTTTTCATACAGTATTTTTTCTGTTTTCTTAAATTACATAAAAATGTATGTAAAATTACAAATATAATCTGTAATTAAACAGTAACAAAACAGTTAGATGATAAAACGGTCAAATGACTGGCAGCCCCCAAAAAACTGTAACATTGTGATAATTCAGGATATACCTGTAAAATAACAATACCTTCAGTGGAAAAAAAAAATCGTAAAAAAAGGGTCAAATGACTGGCAGCTACGGCTGCCAAACAAAAACCATAAAATTAAAGTAAAATCTTCTAATTCAAATAAAACAAAAAAAACACTGTTATTTCACAGGTATTTCCTGCATTATTATGATCATATACCTTCATTGTAAAAAAATCGTAAAAAAAGGGTCAAATGACTGGCAGCTACGGCTGCCAAACAAAAACCATAAAATTAAAGTAAAATCTTCTAATTCAAATAAAACAAAAAAAACACTGTTATTTCACAGGTATTTCCTGCATTATTATGATCATATCCATTTATTGTAAAAAAATCGTAAAAAAAGGGTCAAATGACTGGCAGCTACGGCTGCCAAACAAAAACCATAAAATTAAAGTAAAATCTTCTAATTCAAATAAAACAAAAAAAAAACACTGTTATTTCACAGGTATTTCCTGCATTATTATGATCATATACCTTCATTGTAAAAAAATCGTAAAAATAGGGTCAAATGACTGGCAGCTACGGCTGCCAAACAAAAACCATATAATTAAAGTAAAATATCCTAATTTAAATAAAGTGTCAAAAACTTTAATAGAAATGTGATGTCACCATGATTGAGATCAGTCTTTGCTTTAGTTGGGCTCATGACTCTTGAGTTTCAACATTACTTTTTCTCTGGTTGCTTTAACTGTGTTTTGATGCACATTTATTATGGCAATAATTGCAAGAGAATATATAAGATGATCTTGGTCATTTATTTATGATTTTTTAGTCATCACATGATGATCTGATTCATTGATATGACAGTCAAATCTCTATTGGCTGTGAATACATTATATATAGATGGACTTTAGTGTTATACAAAGTTATACTTTTTTTCACATGATTTGTTGAAATATTGTGGGATCAGTATTAATGCAATCTCAAATTAATTTTTTTTTTATATATTCTACATAATTTTTTTTGAGTTGGCTTATTTTGTTAGGAGTATGGAGACATCAAGAATCAACATATGAATCTCAACAATGGTGACTATCAACAAAGCCTTTTTGTGACTTTATAATAGGTCAGAATTTTTTTTTCATTGTCACCATTGTTGAGATTCATACGCTAATTCTTGATGCCTGAGTGAGTCTGTATGATCCTGTCAAAACATTTTTTGCATAATGACTTCATAAAATGTTATATCAAAGCATTGTAGGATCTTCTATAGCAATACTGGCATTCTAAATTAACAATTAACATTTTACAACTTATTCAGTCATTAAAAAGTCATACCAACCAGGTGGTATCAATACAGCAGACAACTGCTTGATGAATATTATCACTATTAAGTGACCAACATCATCTGATCTGAGTTTCTCTCGATTTCCTACAATAAAAAATATGCATCAAAGACATGCACAGTTAAGAGAAAAACTAATGTTACTATATGAAGGGTCAAGAGCCCAACTAAAGCAAACACTGACCTCTATCATGGTGACATCAAACTTTATTATTTTCAATTAACGAGTTCGTTTGCCCATAAAATCTTTAAGATATTAGGTTAAACTTATTTGGCTTGCTGTCCGCTGGAGAGGGGCTCGATGAAGCAGCTTCAACTCGAGCTCTGATATACCCCCCAGTGGCTAAATGTAGGACCTGTTAAT